GATAAGTAACAGAGATAAGAGACCCAGAATAACACCCAACATCTGGTCTCCTTGTCTCAGTATTTTCTGCTAAAGGATGGGTCAAATTATCATAGCACAATCCCACAATAAAAACTATGTCCAGTGTGGGTAAAGACGTGGGCCAAACACCAATCAACAGAGCAAGAGATAATTGTTCTGGATGACAATGTGTAAGTGTCTACATAAACTACATATGTATTTAGTTTATAACAGCTAATTTATAAAAGCCTTGGGGGGGGGGGGGGATAACAGTTTATCTGCAATCAATGAAAGGAAGGTCACTGTTATAAATCATAGGGACCCTTATTATATGATATTTCAGTCAAATGTACATGTTATTTTACCATGGTAAATAAATAACATTTTCTTAAGTTTCACATACGAGACTCCTGATAGAGTTAGGTTTTGTTATTTTAAAAACTTTTTGTTGACCAAAAATTCAGATTACCTAAAAGCGTTTAGCTTCAGCTTTTTTTTAATTTGTTGCCTGAAAACTTTCCTTTCTCTATGCAGCATCACTATCTCACTATTTAGCTACTGGGAGCAACCCTTTCACAATGACAGCTATTGAAAATTCTGGATGGCTAGGCTCCAGCTTGACAGATGTATGCTTAGGTTCTCGGCCATCATCAATTTGCCTAAGTGTACATTTTTATGGAATGTAAGAAAAATTGCGCATATGAACACAATTCCCAGAGTTGCCATATCTCAGAGAGACGTTTATAAATGGGATGAGTTTTCCCAAACCTGTCCAATTGGGTTTTGTATCAGAGAGTGAACTGCTCCGGTCATAGGTATGCACTCATCGCCCTGTATATCCCAAAACTGCCTGTATCAGGCAACTTAAGTACTGATTTCTTTTTGCAAAGCATGGTTACCTTTAATGAATTACTGGTAAGTAAAACTGCAGTGCCTGGTCCCCCTAGGAGAGCACTTCTGTTACTATTTTGTTGCCTTAAAAATATGTTACTGCGCAGTTGCTCAGGGCCCCAAAAGACAGACTCACTAGTGGTCAGTGGGAGGAATGTAGCTCTACACACATGGCCAGTGGGAAGAATGTGTCCCCAACATTGGTGACCAGTGTAAGGAATGTAGCACAATCACTGGTGACTGGTGTGAAAAATTTAGCCCAATCATTGATGGTCAGTGTAAGGAATGTAGCACAGTCACTGGTGGTTGGTGTAAGGAATGTAGCCCCATCATTGATTGTCATTGGAAAGAATGTAGGACAGTCACTGGTGGTTAGTGTGAGTAATGTAGCCCCATCATTTATGATCAGTGGTAGGAATGTAGCCCCATTCTTGGTGTTCAGTGGCACTTACCTTGAAAACGCCACTACCACTCTTAGTGGTTCCCTACTGTCAGCTTGCAAAAAAAGTCCTGCATGCTCTGTCTTCCTACTGCACAATTCAGTTTACAGCCAACAGTAAGCTGTAACCTGCCCAGATGCACAGTCACTGGTTGTTGGTGTAAGGAATGTAGCCCCATCATTGATGGTCAGTGTAAGGAACGTAGCACAGTCACTGGTGGTTAGTGTGAGCAATGTAGCCCCATCATTTATGATCAGTGGGAGGAATGTAGCCCCATCATTGGTGTTCAGTGGCACTTACCTTGCAAATGCCACTACCACTCTTAGTGGTTCCCTACTGTCAGCTTGCATACAATGTCCTGCATGCTCTGTCTTCCTACTGCACAATTCAGTTTACAGCCAACAGTAAGCTGTAACCTGCCCAGATGCTGTAATTTGGGGACCACTGCTTTAGATTGTCAAGGTGACTATATACTGTAAATATGTGACATCATCCCTCAACAGATGCATTTTTTAGTTTTTCATACTTTAGGAATAAATGCCAGTTCTTTAAACACATTTAAACAATTTTTTTATTATAAAGTAATAATATCACAGCATAGAGGTACATTTTTAAAAATAATTACATAGTCAGTGTATAGATTCAGAGTTACGAGTTATACCTCATCTAAAAGATTCAAATATAATATTCCATATATTGTATAGCAGTATGTGATAACTGTTGCTAAAAAGGAATATATGATGTTAGGTAATAATTGATATTAGATCCAGGTGAATGGAGCTGTACAATTAGTTAAAGCCGAGACACCTTCTGAAGTAACATATTGAAGCAAGAAAAAGTAAAACATCATCAAAACTGATATATATTATTATATTTTAAAATATAATCTATGTGTGTAAATTTATTCTTTGCACAAGCTATTATTGAGGTTGTACTTAAGAAACGCATGTTTGATTCATTATTTATTTTAATACAATATAAACCATAAATTAATGGTAAAAAATACAGACCACACACTATATAAAGGATAGTTATTCTTGAATAATCTAACATTTTATTACCCCTCTGTAGAGGTAATTATGTTTAAGCATATTTGCAATTTAGCAAAATGTGAGCATTTAAAATTCATGGAATTTTTGAATGGAATGGAACACACAATTTGTTTTCCTGCCCATGTACAAATCATTTATTTTTTATTGATAGTACATTTAACACTTAGTGTTTTTAAAATAGTCCTAATTCGTGATCATTAGGATTCTATGTTTCCCAACAGACAATGTTAAGAAAATTGGTATAGAATGTTTTAAAAAATATTTTCTTGACCACCCTGTAACTCATGGAATGATTATATGGAGCCACCAATCCCATATTTGCACTCCACAGATCCATGCTTACATACAGAGGATGTCAACAAACACTGCAGACCACAGGAATCGAATCTTGGTAAGCATGCATATGCGGTGAGGGGTAAATAAGGGCAAAAGGAGTAAAAGTAAAAGTGCAAATATTCTTTAAGAATCAGATTGAAGACCATAATACACATTATGCTATCACATGAATCAGGCATGAAAGTCACAGAATAATTATAAATGATTAAACTATAATGCACAGTAACTATACAAGTACAGTATAACTATAAGTGATTAAATAGGTGTACACCCATTTAAATATCTTTAATAGGTAAAATTGGTGTGCACTTAAAAATGCAATATACAGTATGTGGAAGCAGTAGTAAACTCCACTTTAAGCAATAAACTCCAGCCTATAATATGGCTTATCTGTAAGTACAGTAAATATTTCCTATACGTACACTATTTAGGCGACATTTACAGGTGTAGCAACCAGTGATACCACTGGTGGATGGGCACTGTGCTCTCAATGGATGGCATGCCGTCCATTGAGAGAGGTGTGCTGCGGACGTGACTCCCAAGCACTTCCTCCATTCAAATGGCCAGAGCCAGTAGACCCAGAAGGAAGAACAGGTGAAGATAGAATCCCTGTGAGCGGTGACAGCCGCCAGAGGGAACCATTTTTAGGTAAGTCTGTGAGCCTGCAGGGGGACCAGTTTGGCTTTTTTTCAAGGTTATTACAGGTATAAAGTGTTAATAAGCAGTAGTAAAAAAAACAAACAAAGTCTGATTTCACAGCACATATAAATTTGCTATAATTGCTATTTACTTATAGTACATTCTATGTGCACCTTTTATAGCAGTCTCAGTGGGGTATGATATTAAAAAAGAGACATTTTTGCACAGTTATTAAGTTGGGATCGTATACACTCACCATCCTCTTTATTTGGTATACCTGTTCAATTGCGTAGTAACGCAAATTGCTAATCAGCCAATCACATGGCAGCAACTAAATGCATTTAGGCATCTAGACGTGATGAAGACAACTTGCTGAAGTTCAAACCGAGCATCAGAATGGGGAAGAAAGGGGATTTAAGTGACTTTGAACATGGTGTGGTTGTTGGTGCCGGACAGGCTGGTCTGAGTATTTAAAAAACTGCTGATCTACTGGGATTTTCACACAACCATCTCTAGAGTTTATAGAGAATGGGCCAAAAAAACAAAATATATCAAGTAAGCAGCAGTTGTGTGGATGAAATTGCCTTGTTGACGTCAGAGGTCAGAGGAGAATGGGCACACTGGTTCGAGATGATAGAAAGGCAACAGTAACTCAAATAACCACAACAGCACAACCTTGAAGCAGATGGGCAGAAGACCACACCGGGTGCCAATCCTGTCAGCTAAGAACAGGAAACTGAGGCTACAATCCACACAGGCTCACCAAAATTGGACAATAGAAGATTGGAAAAACATTGCCTGGTCTGATGAGTCTCTATTTCAGCTGAGACATTCAGATGGTAGGGTCAGAATTTGGCGTAAACAACATGAAAGCATGGATCCATCCTGGCTTGTATCAACAGGGATGTGGGGGATATTTTCTTGGCACACTTTGGGCCCCTTAGTACAAATTGAGCATCCTTTAATTGCCACAGCCTACCTGATTATTGTTGCTAACCATGTCAATCCTTTATGACTACAGTGTCCCCATCTTCTGATGGCTACTTCCAGCAGGATAATGCACCGTGTCACAAAGCTCAAATCATCTCTAACCGGTTTCTTGAACATGGCAATGAGTTCACTGTACTCCAATAGCCTCCACAGTCACCAGATCTCAATCTAACAGAGCACCTTTGGGATGTGGAGGAGATTTACATCATGTTTACCTAATAGAGTGGCCAGGGAGTGTATGTCCTGACTGATTTATGTCATAGATTACCTCTATAATACCTAAAAGTGTATGCTTTTTTTTGTATAATGATAGTAACACAAAAGTGTTTTTCTTAGTACTTCTATAGTATGTACAGTTGGTCCAATACAACACAAACTATCAATCTAATTGGAGAGTGCAAAGTCTTGTTCAGTTGTGCATCGTAGCCAATCAACTTCTAACTTTAGCTTGTTCAATTAAGTTTTCTTGAAAAAAATTGGAAGCTGATTGATTTTTATGCAGAGTTGCACCAGATTTTGCACTTTCCAATTGTAGTAAATCAACTCCATTACATGATCAGCAAATTTATGGACTTTGCATATAATGGTTAATCATCCATGAGTAGTTCATTTAGTTGGCATCTTCCACTTTCTTGTAATTCTAATTTCTGTACATAGCCAAAGCTAAGAGCAGAGCAAGAATACACAGTGCCACCAGCCCATAAACTATCCACAATTTCTCTTTGTGGGTCCGAACCACACGAGTCTTGGTAGGTTTTAGTATTCGATCAAATGTATTCACAATTTGCTTCCTGGCCATTGGCCATTGCCCTGGACCCCTCAAGCGATACTGTGCTGGTGTGCATGGTCCAAAGACTACTTTTAATGCTAGAACAGGATCTGCCACAAGCAGTCCAAGAATATTAGGCTTACAGCCTATTTCGTTGGCTAGTTCATCCAGATATTCAATGTAATCCAGCTGAAGACTGTATTCTTTACCAAACCTGTAATAAACAAAAACTGATCATTGATTATATTTGCAATTCACAGACCAATTAAGGTATCATTAAACTCAACAGTTAAAAAATATCTTCACATGCAATATTACATATTCATATTAATCATTTAAATTTTACATTTTGTTTTATGTACAGTGATAGGAACCTGTTTGATCCTGCCATTCACTGGTGTTGCCTCTTCCCTGTGTCCCCGCTGCAGCATCAAATCTTATGGTGTGGCTGTTGCCACCTGTGCTACGCATGCTTGTTTTTCTGTGAACAGGAAAGCTGTTCACTTCCTAGTTAATTCCAAACCAGGCTGCTTATGTAACTATAGAGTCACTTTTGTTAGTGTTTACTGAATAACGGAGGCGTCATATCCCTGTTAGTCCCCCTAGCATACATCATTAGATGCTAGCCATTCCTCCCACAGATCTTTACAAGTGGACAGGAACAAGTCGGAAAAGATTACCTGACCTCTCTGATACATTAAAACAATTAGATGCTGAAGTATGTTTTCAACAGCTTCTGCTGTCTGGGGACTCTTCCTCCTCATTGGCTGAGACGGCATCAGGAGCCCATTGGCTCCCGCTGCTGGCAATCACAGCGAGTGAGCCAATGAGGAGAGAGGAGTGGCTCAGGGATGAGCACACAGCAGTAACCCAAGGGCGAATGGATTTTCCTGGGGGCACTGCTCGAGGGGGAGGAGCCAGGAGCACTGGCGGGGATCCGAAAAGAAGAGTATCTGAGCTGCTCTGTGCAAAAAAGAGTATAGACATGTTTTAAAAAGGAAAAAAACTGAAGCTTTAGTGTCACTTCAACCTTTGTGTTTTTGGTACTATTTTAAGAGTTGTGCATATAGTTCCACTTTTTTCCTCATCTTTTATAAACTTGAAACCAGCTTCTGTTACCTGCGACAGTGAAATGTTTGCATAGACACAACTTTTCCCAGAGATCACATAGAAAACGTCAACCTTATGCACAAAGTAATAATTCCTGTTTGTAGACTATACAATCTTACTGCCACATTATGCTTTTTTCACACTAAAAATGTAATTTAATAAATCTGACATACTAGAAGAGTGATGGCGAACCTGACTGCCAAGCTGGACCAATGTGTGTTGCCAATAGGACCTGGTTCACACATCTGCGTCCTGCATGTAGGCAGACTATTAATTTCAGTGGGCTGCCCTACCCCTAGAAATGCAGTGAAAGAAGTCCCTAACTATTATTTATCCCTCTGGTCCGAGCTCCATCCTCTCTACTCCTGCTCTCTCCTTTCTCTGCAGTTCTCTAGTTGGGTAACTGATTGCCCCTCCCTGCAGTCATGCGCGATCCTATAGAGGACCTACTCCTTTCCAAGCATGCGCATTGGACCCTATGTGCGCCGTTATCAGATGCTCAGCTGCTGGGGTGACTTGGCTAGCATGCTGACAGAGAAGGCTCTGCGTACCCGCTGCAGCCATAGGTTCGCCACCACTGGACTAGGTCATCTGTGTTCAGGTCAAACCCCTAATCAGGCTAAAAATAAATAAATATTTATAAAAATTGGGGCATTTATCCATAACTTAAAGCAATATCAACAAGACATTAAACCCAAAAGCAAACATTTTTGGCAGCATTCATTTTCTTTTTTTAGGCTTTCTTTCCTTTATTTTCAACCTGGTGATCTGGCCAGTAAGTCTTTTGTTTTTTTTTTTCAAAAGAACAAACCCTCCTGCAGATGTAGAAGTTATACAAATAATTTACCGTTGACAGGGGTAATTACAATGGTCAACTTTTATTAATGTAAACTCTTTAACCCAAAATAAAAATAAACTGTTGCTGTAACTGAATTAAAGTGTTAGCTGGACTTTGGCCTCAATTTTTAGTTTGTCTAAATCTGCTGGTACATTTAACACTCCCCACCCCCCCAGATTACCAGTGCTGTTGTACAAATGTCCCCCTGTGCTCCTTCATCTAGAGTGAGGGCACTCTAATACTGAAGGCGTGTTACTGGTGTTACTGACCATATTGCCATGTGAAAAAAGGGAAAACATCTTTAAAAAGAAAGAAAACAAATGCAGCCACTATATCAAATGATTGGTAAGCTGCTATATATTACATTTTTTGTTTTGGGATTGATAATGGTTTAAACACAAAAAAAAAAAAAATATATATATATATAGCAACTCACCAATCCCTAAATGTGGTGACTACATTTTTTTTTGCTCTTTTCCCCTTTATTTTTACCCAGTGATCTGGCTAGTAACACATTTACCCTCTAGGGTGTCCTTAGCCTGGATGAAGGAGCAATGGTGACACCCTTGGACAGCAGCATTGTGAATCTGTGGAGAGGGCAATGTTCAATGCACTAGCAGATTTAGGTGGACTTGAGCAATAAATTAAATCTGAACTTCATCTAAGACTTGTTTTTTTCTTTAGGGATAAAGGTTTACATAAATGAATAAAAACTGATCTTTGTAAGCACCCCTGTTTGTTTTAAATGGTTTCTGTCAACCCCTTGTTGCTACTTTTGATGGACAGCTTGGTCTGTTAAAGGAAGTTGAAAAATAACAGACTTACTGACTGGATCCCCAGGTGAAAATAAAGGAAAAAAGCCTAAAAAAAATAAAACTAATGCAGTCACCACATTTAAGAATTGGTAAGTGGCAATAAATATGATCTTTGGTTTTGGTTTAATACTGCTTAAAGTGGGTCATTGGGTAGAATACAGAACAGCCGCTATGATAAATCTTTACTAAAGCTGAAGCCTAATAATCTCTCCCTGTCACAAACCTTCCCCATGTATTTTAGCCAAGGATTACCGGTATTTGGCCAGACCTTTTTCTTTTCTCCTGGGGGTGCACTAAACAGCACTCACATAGTGACTGCTGAGTGTTGTTCAGTGCAATAATTCTCTTAGCCCAGGTGATGTGATGATTTTTCTCCAGGGAATGGGTCCATGACAGCCTGAGCTCAGAGGAAGTGGGTTGAATGAAGCTGGCCATCAGTCAGCCCCAAATACTGAAGACATCTAGTGGCAGAAGATGCAAGTATCACCTTCATCCTCAGAGAAAGCTTCTTTTTTTTTATTATTGGGCTATTTATGTTTTATTAGCTGATGTTCAGATTTAAATTATCCCTGAATCCAGAAAGAATGAATAAATACCTTTCTAATACGATTTTCTGTTTCAGTTCAATGTCCTTCTGGATTCCATCTTGTGATGGCAATTTGCACAAACCTAAAAATAATTAACATTACCAACATAAAACATTAGAATATAAGCATCCATTGAATTTTCCATGATATGTTATACTGGTAATAAAGAAAAAAAATCTTGTGTTTGTGTTCATTCATAACACTGTAATGGATTATCATACATTACATGTTATGGTGTGATGCACTGTGCGTTGGCCTACTGTACCTTTAGTAGCCACCTTTTGAGGATGCCTTATGTGTGTGCCCAGATCCTTTGGTACTTCCAGAAACTCAAGTGCCACTGGTCTTCAAAGGAGGCCACTCTTTGGCAAGGGTGAGCTAGAAACCGTAGAGTTGTCAATGTGAGAAGCCAATGGCCATTACAGATTGCAACTAAAACCAAGCATCTCAACTCAGCAGGATCAAAGATTACTGATTTAGGAAGGTAACAGGCTCTAGACAGATTGAGAACAGACAAGAACCAAGCTTCTTTTTCATGAGAGAACAATGAGAATTGTGGTGGTGGGGGTCGCTTCCTTAAGCCTTGATTCTAGGCTTTTCTGTTGGTGGCCTACTGGCTGTTGGTTGAGATGCTTAGTACTCTTCATATAATATACCTTGAGATTGGGGCTTATTATGCTTTTTTCTTGTTATTATTCTTTTTTTGTACCTGGCACTGTAATAACCATATTATTTGGCTGGCTGTATGTTATCTGTTCTCAATACCTGATATTATGTAAAACCTAATAAACACTTTTGAAAGTAAGAACCAAGAGTCAAACAAGCTAGGAGACAATATCAAGGATAAAGAAACTTGTCAATGAAAAACTACTAAGAATGCTCTGAAAACAGCATAAAGAGTGCAAAGTGAAAACAGAACAGGATTACAGGGAAACAGGAAACACACAACATTGTGGCAGCAATCTGAGTACTGCAACAGGAAATTAGGAAATTTAAAAGTGTATGCACCAATCAGGATGTAACAAGTGACAGCCTAACTAATAAATAGCAAGTGTGGTTTTGAAGGGGAAAATGGGTACTTAAAGGGTTCCCAATAGGTTTTTTGTTTTGTTTTTTTTTTTTGTGGGGGGGTGTTAACTTTTTTGTCTGAGCATAGATCTATGCTTGTCCCAAACATGTTTGAAGCTATTCTGTATCAACTAATCTTTCAGTAAAATAGTACTTTCTGAGATTAGTTTTGAACTTTCCTCCAGTTAGTTTAAGGACATGTCCCTGTGTTCTTGATTTTGGTTTCATGTTGACAATACTGTCCACCTGAACCTTGTTCACCCCCTTGATGTATTTAAAGGTTTCAATCATGTCTCCCCTTTCCCTTTTTTCCTCCAGACTGTACATGTTAAGTTGCTGAGTCGCTCTTGATATGTTTTATCCTCCAGACCTTTCACCATTTTTGTTGCCCGTCTCTGTACTTGTTCTATCTTATCAATATCTTTTTGTAAGTGAGGTCTCCAGAACGGGACACAGTATTCTAAATGAGATCCAACTAAAGATCAATATAGGGGAATCAGGACCTCCTTCCTCCTGCTGGTGACCCCTCTAGTGATACATCCTAGAATTCTATTAGCTTTCCCCACTGCCTGGCCACACTGTTTGATCATTTTCCATGTTCATAAAACAACTTCTGGGAGAGAGTAAGGTGCCGTTGGGTTCTCTTACCTAGTTCCTCCAAAAAGAGAGCTTTAGTTTATTGTAATTGTTTAAAGATTGCTTGCACTCACGAGTGCTTGTGTAGTGATTCAAGATCAGCTATGTGTTTGGTGAGTGCAAGGAAAGTAGCTTGCTGCTCCCGTTCATGTTTTTCTGCCATGGTCAGAACTCTCTGTGCCACACATTTATGTGCCTCCCACAACAGCAAAGTAAACCCTCCATATTGTTAGTTGTGAAATACTCATTTAACCTCCCTGGCGCTTTGATTATTTCAGATTTTTGGTGCTGAAAGCGGTACCATTTTTTTGCATGGAAATATGTATTTTTTTTATTGTAGGCTGTAATTTTTAGGAAAAACTCACTGAAATCTGTCCGAACAAGAGTCTAGTAAACATCCCGGGTATGATAAAATTTGAAACACAAAATCATAAATTATAATTTAATAAATAATCATAAAAATAATATAAAAATAATAAAAAATTTAATTCAATAATATAATCAAACCAAAAACACTGAAATGTGAAATAGAGCGCCAAGTTCGCACATTGCTGAGCTCAGTCGCAAAATCGTTTTCAGTGTCTGATGACGAATTTTTCCCCCACGAATCATTATCACTCAATTCTGTAAGTGGTTCTGATTTACTATCGCTGTTCTCTAGCTGATCTAAACCGCTTTTGACCTAAAGGGACACTTTTTGGACACCATGGACATTTCTCAGTTTCCAGGCAGAAAGAACAGACAAAATGCAGGCAGGGCGCAGGACAAAGCACTAGGGACAATATGTATGTGAAATAGGTTGAAACAGCAATGTTTTACTATGTAAAATGAAAAAAAAAAAAAAAAGACATTTTTTAAAATTTTTAAAAAATTTCCCGCCGCCGGCGGCGGCGGCGCCCGTACGTCCCGACGTCACAGGGACAGGACACAGAAGCCGGATGCCGGCATCGGCCGGAGGAGATGGCCGGGGACGCTGCAGGGGACACATCGTGGGAGCGCAGGGTAAGGTAAGTGAAGAACACATTCCGGAGCAGCGCCGCATGGTATTCCCGAGTGTAGCTCGGGGTTACCGCTTTTGGTACTGAAATGTTACCCCGAGCTACACTCGGGAATACCGCCAAGGAGGTTAAAGAGTGTTGGAGAGAGCTAAGATTGCTGGGGTTGCCAGAGTCTAGCATCTAAAGTTTTGTTCAGGGATCTATCTCCAGGAAAAACAAAATTAGAGTTAAATTAGGATGATCAGAGAGGAACATGCTTTTTTTAGTCTCAGTTTGCAGAAATGAGAGGCCAGGTTTGAACAGGAATAGGTAATCCAAGTGTGAATATATTTGTTGTGGTATACAAAAGAATGGAAAGTCCTTTTCATCCAGGTGCATGGTTTGCCATAAATCATGTAAAGTTAAGGGCTGTAGTTGAAGTTTATTTGCTTGAGTGTTTTGTAAGGGAGGGCAGAGGAATCAACCATTTTTTGTACCTTGCATACTATGTGGCATAGTAGTGGTACACTTGTAGGATGATCCAGTTAGGGCTTGTTCACACTTGACTACATTTCTAACGCTTACCAAATGCTCCTATAGCTTAAGTATTAGCATTAGACAGACATTAACCATTAGCCTCCCGGCCAATGGCCGTTTGGCGGCTTCAAAAGTGCTTCGGCATTCCGGCATTCCGGCATTCCGGCTTCAAAAGTGCTTCGGCACATGCGCAGTTTACGCTAATGCAGAGCCTCGCAGCGGCGCGATCTGTCACGGCCGTGTACCTCGGACACGGCCAATGACAGATCTGAGTACCGGCCCCCGTTGCTGGTACCATGTGACCTGCTGTGACCAATCACAGCAGGTCACATGACAGTTGTATACAATGGATGGCTTCATTTATGCCATCCATTGTATACTACTGCCTAGCTGTGAATGGTCACAGCTAATCACATGCACATGTCATGTGATTAGCTGTGACCAAATCACAGCTAAGCACAAAAAAAACAAAAAAAAAAAAACAAAACATGAATGAATCGATTTCATTCAGCTAAATGCTTGCTTATAGCAAAGTAATTCTTTGCTATAAAGCAAATTGTGTAAAAAAAAAAATACTGATCACTTCCCCAAAGTAGTACAATGTTACTATGGTAACATTGTACTACTTTGGTCATAGTAAAATATGAAAAAAAAAATCTTAAAAAAATAAAAAAATGTAATAAAAAATTAAAAATAATAAAAAAAATAAAAAAAATAAAAATAAAAATATATATATTTTTTTTTTTTTCATAGTGTCACCAGTCAGGGTCCCTGTTCACCACCATGCCAGTTATATGATGATGCTGTACTGCACTGGTAACAGTATGTAAAAAAAATAGTGAAAATAATATTTTACATTTTTTAATTTTCCAAAAAATTATGACAAAAAAAATACAACTTCAAAAAACTCGCCATTCCTCTTATGAAGTACATCGGACTGTCTACTCTGCAAAAAGGGGTCATTTGGGGGATATCTGTACTGTTCTGACGTTCTTGGACCTCAAGAAATTAGATTGGCTGTCAGTACTTCAGGATTGATCAATTTTCAGATCTATACCATAATTTGTAAACTCTATAACTTTCCTACAGACTAAATAATACATCCTAATTTGGGTTATTTTCACCAAAGACATGTAGCAGAATACATCTCGGCCTAAAATTTATGAAGAACAATTATTTATTTGTAAACTTTTATAACAGAAACAAAGAAAAACGTGTTTTTTTTCAAAACTTTTGGTCTTTTTTTGTTAATTTAGCAAAAAATAAAAACCCCAGCGGTGATTAAATACCACCAAAAGAAAGCTCTAGTTGTGTGAAGAAAATGATAAATTTAAATGATGACATGCTTGGAAAATGTTTTTAAGCTGTATGCAGTATTGCAGAACAGTTTGATTTTCATGACAGTTTGGATGTTTGTTTTTGTTTACTTTCATATTTAGCTTAGCTTAAATACAGAAGCAGCACCTCAGTATGGTTCATTTCAACTTGGAAAAGTCTTTTATCTGTGTCAGGGGTAGACTGACCATTTGGAAACTCGGGCACTGCCCGAGGGCCCGGGGTCAGTAGGGGGTCCCATGAGATGCCCCTGGTACCTTTTTCATAGGCTTTTTTGAGTCTGGGCAAGGACACAGGGGCCCCTATTGCCCGGGGGCCCCATGAGTTGTCAGTCCACCCCTGATCTGTGTCTGATGATTTTTTTTCACTGTTGGAATTGGCATTCACAACAAATTTAAAAGCCCTCAGCTTCATATAATTTGTCCAATAGAACAACAGTTTAATAGTATGATTTGTTAGCATCTTTTTTTGCCGGTAATAGGGTTTGGGTACAATGTTGT